ATAGGCCTCCCGCGTCGGAGTCACTCAGTGTTCTTTGGTCCCAGGCAGCAGGAACTGGTCCTGACCAAATAAGGCAGAAATGTTATTGAAAGGATGTTAGGTAACTGGAAGAACTGAGAAAAAAGGTAGTACAGAGGAAAAGGACAAGACAGGGAACTACTGAGTACTTGTAGATAGCAAGAAAACTCAAGAATCTTGTGCAGAAGCTGCTGCCTGGCGAACTCAGCTCAGAGCGCCACCTCCATTCCAGGCTGCTTGCTTCAGCTCTCAAAATCTTGGGAAGAAACGCAGCTTGCCTAATTGGAGTCCATAGCCTTCCCTTGGTTACAGCATCCTTGCATTCTCATCCTACCATGAATACCTGCAACACAGGACTGTTCATTTCCAAAACACTCTAGTATGCTGCCGCCTGAGGGGCTGCTGCCCTGTGTCATGAGCCAGAGGCAGCGGAAGGGAAGAAGGAAAGCCCTAGACAGTAGTTATCTGTATTTCTGTTCCAAAAAAGATCAGAATTGGGGCAGGCCAGATAGCTCAGCAGACTAAAGCGCCTGCTTAAGCAGAGTGAAGTGGCTGGGCTTCAATCCCCAGCATGCCTTGCCGGCCCTGCCCCCAGGGCACAATGAAAAAGCAATTGAGACTGGGCATGGTGCCGCACCCAGCACTTGGAAGGCTGTGACCCCAGCACTTGGAAGGCTGAAAACAGGAGGATCACTGTGAGTCCGATATACATAGTGAGACCTGAATGATTTCTTAATTGCTATGCCTACTGTTTATTTTTATTATTTAAATTCAATGTTTTGCTGGGGAGATAGCTCAGTAGAATAAGCGCCTACCTGGCAAGCACAGGATCCTGAGTTCAATCCCCACTACTGGAAAAAAAAAAAAAAAAAAAAAAGTAAATTCAATGTTTTAATTGTAATCTATATAATTAAAAACAAAGTTTGCCTAGGCAGGCATTCTTTACTTCTAGGAACATTTACAGATGTCTGACACATAAATGTGCAAAAGTGGCTTCGTTTGCTTGAAACATGCCGGGGTTGCCTCATCCACCACCCTAAACTTATTTGGGAACATCAAATGCACCTTCCCTCGGACTCCCCGATTCAAGTTATGTGAATTCAAACTTAACATTTTTCTCAAGCATGTTGATGCTTTGCATTCTCCTCTTTGGCATAATACAAGTTACCCGTCACCCAGTCCATAAATCTGTCTTCCACCTTTGTTTCTCTCTGTCCTTCACACCCAGCATCCATTGATTCACCAAGGAATGGATATTTTTATCTTCTAAATAAATTCTGGGTCCCCTTACTTCCGCCTGCCCTCCTGCCTCTGCTCCACCAGCCACAGCCCCCAGTGTCTCTTTTCCAGAACCACTAGCATCCCCAGCTCTTCTCTCTGCTCCTAGTCTACCCTCCTTCCATCCCTTCCTTCAGATCAGAAGTGAATTTCAGAGTCACAACCTCCAGGATGCTAAATTGAAAGTCTTTATTTTTTTATAATTTAATTTTAATTCTGGCCCTGAGCCTTGATCCTCCCTAGTGTAAAAAATCCAATCTTGTCACTCTCAGGTAAAGTCCATCCAATTTGGCAATTTCTCAGGTTGCTCAGAATTGTAAAACCTCTCAGTTTCATCCTATTTTCCTGTAGAGAAACTGCATTTGACTGATGGGAGCAAATACATGATAGGGCATTGTATTTCACTTTCAAAACATCAGAAACATTTTTAGCATGAATTATGTCCCATGCAGTACTTAGGGCACTCTAATACAAAACAGTATGCATCATTTGTTGTTTATATGGTATTCAGTTTAACTAGGAATCCCACATCTTATCTGACTTCTCTGGGGAGTAAAGGGAAATCAGGTATAAAAGAGAGATACTAGATTCAGGTCACAAAGGAGGACCTGATAATTGTCACTGCATCTGCCTTCCCAGTCTCTAGTCCTTTTCTCTTCTTTGCTAATAGAACTCCAGCTTGGGTTGGGCACAATACACCCAAGATCACACAGGGTATTTGTGTTCCCAGACGCCTTGTGTACAGGCCCTAATCTGCTTAACTTTATGCAAAAAAAATTGAAGTGTTTATTTTTCCAGACACTGTGGATCAAATTCTCTCTGATATAGCTGAATGCAGTCTTAGCTTGTGGAGTCCTAGAGAGTGACCATCTCTGGTGCATTTGACCCGTCCTTGTTTTTCTTTCTATCTGGAAATATAGCATGGGCAGAGCTGGACGGAGCCTTGCCAGTGCTCCCCAGTGCCCTTCATTTCAATTATGGCTCTGTCTTCCTTTCCGGTGGGCAGCCCATAACCAACCTCTCAGCACACACCCTCTTTCCATGGCCACATAACACAGTGGTAGTACATGGGCCCTCTCTTTCCAGAATGTCCTGTCACACCTGAAGCCCATTGAAATAGTCTGTCATTCTTCTCTTACTGTTCTGGGACTGTGGAAATTCTAGAGCTGGTCCTGGTCCTCTGCTGCTTCTAAATCCTTGGTCACTTGCAGCTTTCTCTTGCCTTGTATAGGAGGAGGTGGCCAAAGGGATGTTGCTTATCTTCCTGCCTTCAAAGCGTCGAGGTGGGACACAGGATATGTATATCTTGTACTCTCAGGGCCCACTGGCTTTCACATGATGTTGTCTTGTTCTGTTCCATGGGCCTCAGGGATTTGAGTGGAGTGAGCACATGAGCATGTGGCCCTTGCTGGGCAGCATCTTGCCACTTGCTTCTGCATCCTCTTCCCCTCTGCCTCATTGGCAGGAGCAAACAACTGCTACTTTTCTTCTCGGACTCACACCCAGTGGTGGCTGTTGATTGCTAACCTAGGTGTGTGTTCATTTTGTTCTCTTCTGCACTAGTTCTGTAATAACTTGTCTGTCAGCTGGAGGAAGGCTACAGTTCCAAGGTGGTGCTCCCCTCGGCAGCTTTCTCCAAACTATGTCTGCATCCTGCCAGCATCTACACTCAGACTGTGCAGCAGCACCTATTACCCATCACTCCTTGCTTGGAATCTCGACTTCTTGTCATTATGTACCTAGAAGTCTCATCGTGGTGTGGTCCCTACTGTAAAAATAAAATAAAATAAAATAAAATAAAATAAAATAAAATAAAGCAAAACAAAAACAACTTCGTATCTCACCACTTTCTTCCTGATCACTCTGTCCTACACCTAAATGGATCCACTGAATAAGAAATTCTGCACAGATGGAAGCTGGATAGTTTTATTTTGCTTTGTCTTGTTTTTAATGTTATAGATTAATGCATTGCCAGTAGCCAAAAACTAGAAGCCTAAGGTTTCACATTTCCTAGAGTATTTTTGCAGAGATAATTTCCTTTGGTTCCTACAAAAATCCTGTGATGTAGGGAGGGCAGGTACTAATAGATTTCAGAGGTAAGAAGTCAAGTCTAGGAAAGTTGGGTCAAACTGGGCTCAACCAAGGGTGCTTTAATTTTGAGCTCTTCTCCCTCTACATGGAAGTATTTATTGTAATATGATGACATAAAGGCAGTTATTCTAAATAATGAATTGTCTCCTTTTAAAAATGTGGGGCCAGCCAAATAGCTCAGTGGATTAAAGTACTTGCAAGCAGGTGCACAGGCCTGGGGTTTGATCCCCGGGCCTGCTGTGCTGGCCCCACCCCTGGGTGTGGTGGCGTGCACCTGTAATCCCAGCACTTGGGAGGCTGTAACCAGAAGAATCACTATGAGTCCAATCTAGTAGTGAGATCCTGAACACCCTGTAGACCCTTCCCTAAAATACAGGGAAAAAATATGAAATAATTAATATAAAACCATACATTGCAGCATCTGGTTATCCTTTTGATAAAGTAATAGCCACCCAAAATCTATTATCTTCTACTTATCTTGACTTCTTGTTCATGGATTTTCAATAATTATTTATCATTTGCCTATTCTAGTTGTTGGGTGCATTCTACCATGACATTGAGGACTTCACAAGGCATTTGATCTATTTGGAGTGGACCCATGGACAGAAACTGAAATACAATAGCAGTTTATTGAATCAATACATGAAATAGTCATCTGTCACTTCATTTATCCCCTTGCATATTATTTTTTATTGAAGTAAGAAGTGAGTTTGTTTTTCTGTTTGTGTGGTCTTTGTTTTTGTTTGTTGAGATCAGACTTTACAAGGTTGTCTAGCTTGTTCTCAAACTTCTGGAGTCAAGTAATCCACCTTTCTCAGCCTCCCACCAGCTGAAAGTGAGCAGCAAATTATTAGTATAACAAACCATTAACTTAATTCTAACTGAAAACAAATATATGTATTTAGTAATCGATTTCAATGTTTTCCTAATGAATGAATGAACTTCCAGAACATACAATGAGAATACTTTTTTTTTTTTTTTGAGGTACCACAGTTTGAACTCAGGACCCTGCACTTGCCAGGCAAGCATTTATTCTACTGATTTAACTCCCTGTCCCAAAAATTCAATTTTTTTTTTTTGGCCAGCTCAGCCTGCCCTAAGGATGGGGCTGGTGCAGTATGTGGTGCCAGGCATTGAACCACAGTCCCTGCTTGCTTTCTAAGCTTGCCTGAGCAAGTACTTTAGACCACTGAGCTAGCTCGCTAGCCCCATTGTTCTTATATTAAACACCAAGCTTGATTTTTGCCTATCTTATTAGGAATTTTGACTGGTTCATTGGTTGATTTTAGGCAGGAGGTTGGTGTATCAAGTATTTTTGAATGTTATCTGTCCAATTACCTTATTTGTCCTTATCAAAGGGAGCTTAGCTCTGGAACTGTAGTTTTATAATGTAATTCCTTTAAACTTAGTGTATGTAGATAGCTCTTGGCATTTTTCATTAAACTGACGTTGTTCAATTAAGTGTTTGAAGCAAAAATCTTTTGATAGTTTTAGTGCTTTTACTGAAAGGGGGAAAAAGAAGCATAGTCCAACCTGTACTTATTGAAGAATGAAAACAGCACAGGATTGAAAGGATTGGGAGGAAGTCTTCTGTGTTCTGGTTCTTATCCCAGCTACAGGAACTCGTACAAGAAGAACATCTGCGTGGACATGCTGCGGGACGGCTATCACAAGTCCTTTGGCGAGGTCTTTGCACTGATGGAGCAGTGGGATGCCCTGAGGGAGGCTGCGAGACTGAGGTCTGTCTTCTGGCTACAGAAGCCCCTAGAGCAGCAGCCTGATAAACTCGATTTCCTCTATCAGTACCTAACCAGGGCCGAGGCGGCTGAACGGAAAGGTAAGTGGAGGCAGGGAGGGAAAGCCTGCAGGTTTAGCACCGCGCAGGAGGAAGGGTCCCAGTGGTTTCCAGTGTGAGTTGGAGACAGTAAGATGACTTAGCACAGGTTTGCCTGGCCAGTTAAGCATATTTATGAGACAAAGTACAATGAAAGTGGAGTCAGAAGACTGCCACTGGATTATCATCCTACGCTTGGGAAGACAGTGCATAGCATCTAATAGAATAAACAGAATTTCCCAGTGATTTAAATCTCGCATCACTCATTACAAACCTTTACATTAACCTGTGTATTATCTCAACACTGACTTTCACTGAGGACATACTTTCAGATTGCAAAGTGTGCTAATTGTCTAGCATTTATATATTGAGCTTTGAAAGTGTTACGATATCCTGTTGATAGGAATCTACGAATTTATGCTAGTGAATAATGAAAACACAATGAAATACCAGCAATGCACAATTATTATTAACATTGTTAAAATTATTTTCCATCAAGTCATTTCTAGTAAGTCTCTTTTTGGCCCAGTCTGATATTTTCCAGAAAGTTAATATATATTTTGAATATCAAAATATTTTCATCTGTATCATAATTATATGGATATTGTTGCCACAAGTATTTCTTAGTTATGTATTAGGAACTAGTCATTTTATTTATTTATTTTTAATTTGTACCTCTTTATGAGATACATTATGGTAATTTGCTACAATGTATAATAATCAAGCCAGAGTAATAAGCATTTTCATCTCTTGAGCAGTTAATCACTTGTATGTGTTAGGGGTTTTGTAGTCTTCCAGTCATTGTGAGATAGATCAGAGGTTGTTTTTTTTTTCTTTCTTTCTTTTTTTTTTTTTTCAGAGGTTGTTTTGCTGGGTATTTATTGTGCTAAAGAGAAAACAGGGATAGTTCCATATCTCTGCATTTTGGAGCTTCTCCCTGAATTTCTCTCTTTCCTTCCTCCCTCATATTTCCCATCTCTATAGTGACCACTAAGGAATTGATCATTCATAGTGAAAGGAGAAAAAAGTTAATTTTAGAATTTGGCATGTAGATTTGGTGTTCTCGATTATTCTTGTCCTCAGTATTTTAGATGAAAATACCACAAGATTCCAAAGGAAAAAAAAGCCCACATTTTGCCAATTTGCCAACATGTGGATTTAATTTCATGTCTTTATAGGATATGAATATCTGGGATATTTTCATCATCCTGTGTTACATAGAGAAAGCTAAGAAGGCCAAGGACAACAGTGGGGGAGAGAGGGCAGCAGAAGTCTTTAGCACTCTGGTGGCATTAGGGCCTATTTCTCATCAGGTGCTGACCCTACTAAGTACAAGAATGAGAGCAGTAATACAAGAGAGGGTGTCAGGTAGAATGAAGGGGTGGGGTAGCAGATGGTTGTTTATATTATGAGAAACTTGTAGCTGCGTGATTGATTTAAAAATAGAACTTCGATGAAATTTAAAATATGATTTAGGGCCGGCCAAATAGCTCAGCAGGTTAAAGCACCTGCAAGCAGGTAGAGGGACCAGGGATTCAATCCATTGGCCTGCATGCCGGCCCCGCCCTCAGGTACGCTGAGTCAGCAATTGAGACTGGGTGTGGTGGTGCATGCCTGTAATTCCAGCTCTTGGGAGGCTGTAAACAGGAGGATCACTACGAGTCCAATTTGGTAGTGAGAACCTGTAGACCCTTTCCTAAAATTAAAATAAAAAAGTGATTTATAGGAAAATGAATGCAACTAGAGGCTGTACTCATAAGTGAATTGGGCCGTGTGCAAATGTCATATTATATTCCTAGTGTAAGAACTTGAAATCAAGCAAATAAAATTTGAAAGGCACAATAGATAGAGTAAAATGGAAAGAAACTGCTCAAAAGGAATGAATAATTGAGATGAAAGAAAGGAAAAAAGAAAGGAAAAAATTGTGGAAAAATCATATTTGTATATACTCAGAACAGCTAAGATGATTGTATTACTAATTCCTCTTGGTTTTTTGAAGGCAGCAGTTAATACTTAAATTTTTTGAGCAATTTTTCATGCTTATTGACAACAAGGTACAATATAACAATCACTGTTGAAAACCTATCATCTTCAGTTTTTTGAGATTGTGTATCAATTCTGATGTCTTATCTATTATTTTTCTATTCTATTTAAAATAAAGAATAACAAAACTTTAAAAATTTTTGAAATAAAAAATTAAAGAGAAGTGTTCATGAAAAATAAGTAAAAATTTGATTTATATAATTTCTCAAGAAATTCAGTACTATAAAATAAAACATGCTATTATGTTAAAAGAAACACTAAAACTACATCCAATATTAGCCTCAAATTCTGAAGTGATATCTATACTGGAAGCAGAATTAATCAAGACAAATTTTGCCCATCAATCTTTTTTAAGTTGGATTTCATCATATTCATGGTTTTAAATAGTTTTCATTTCAGTAGCAAAAGTATGAGCCAAATATCACACTTGTCATAAGATGTCATGAATGAGTCAGCTTGTCATAAACTATTTTGTCATTAAAAAGAGGGAAAGTGCTAAAAAGTCTGTTTTAAAGTAGAACACATTTTAATTTCCAGTGTTCTATTAAAAAATAACTATGCATATAAATGAAAATACTTTTCCAATTTAAAAAGCTAATAAATCCTAGCTGTAGAATAGAAAACATTGTTATACAGGTCATAAAAGTAATGAAAACAATTTTCTTCACTGAATGGTTTATCATATATTTGTAGTAATTAAAGTTGAATTTGTTAAATAGGACAAAAATCACCTCTTGCTCAGAATAATGTTTCTCTAGAGTTATCTCCAACAAAAAGCTCTGGATTTTGCCTGACTCAAATATAGAAAATTAGGTCTGTTGCAATTAAAAAAAAAAAATAGGGGCTGGCGAGATAGCTCAACGGACTAAAGCGACTGCTTAGGCAAGCACAGGGACCGTGGTTTGGGGGGCAGGCAGAGCTGGCCAGAGTCCAGGCATAGTGGCGCATGGCTGTAATCCCAGCACTGGGGAGGCTAAAAATAAGAGGATCACCACGACTCTGAGCTGTGTAGTGAGACTCTGCAACAACCAAATACCTTAAAAAAGAAAGATAAAAAATTCATGGACAATTTTTAGTTGAACAACCCATAATGTTGATATGGTTATTTTTTAATTTGTGCAATTTTTTCATAGGCATCACATGAACTTTATTGAGGAAAACTGTGACTAGAACAAGGCATTTCCAGAAAATGAGATATTTGCAATTACTTTATTAATGAATTAATCCTAAATCTTAAAACATACTTATGTTACTACATGTTAATATGTGTGTATGATATATATATATCATACACCAGGCTCCATCCACATCATCATGGGGTCTGTGAAATTGTCCTGAAATAATGCAGCTCAGCATCCTCATGGCTTCTCCTTGGAAAAACTGTCACTCTAGGCTTACAGAGAAGTTCATTTGATCAAAGTTATGGCACTAACAATAGTCACCTCGCATCAGTTTCCTCTCTTGCAACTTAAAAGCATCAAGCTAGAATCATGTAAAGGACTTTAGAAAACATTCCTGCTTGCTGTAAAGTCACATTTCAAGTAAACAAAACAACCTGTTAAGGAAAGTTTGGAAAATATGGTGTGAACCAAGGTGAGTTGAAGTGCTTTATTACAAGATGTACAAGAGCCTTCAACATGCCAGTGGTATTGTGTGCGTCACTGAAACAGGACATTAGCTAGAACTTTTCCTTTCTCTTCATCATGGTGTTTCCTCTTCAGGGAGCACAATATCTAAATAAATATCCAACCATAGAACTGACTTTTTTCTAGGGGCTCAGGGAGATGGCGCAATGGAATAAGCATTTCCCTGGCAAGTGCAAGGGTCTGAGTTCAATCCCTGGTTCCGCAAAAAAACAAAAACAAAACAAAACAAAAAAAACCCTGACTTTTGTCTTCTCAATATACCCACTAGATAATTCAAAGGAGGGGTCCACATACCAGGAGAAAAGCCCACTTCGAATGTGAAGGTTACAGCTCATAGCTACAGAAAAATCGCTTAGCTATTAGACATAAATATGAAACCTTGAGAGTTTATACAAGTACAATACATGGTTCGAAAAAGGCTTTATGAAAAGTTGGGAATGTATTTATATTTAGTTACTGAAAAATAGAGAAACTATTGCACAAATATATGTACATATATACATATGTATAGCATATGTATATATATTATATATACATTTTATTACATTAGAGAATGCAATATGTTTTACTTACTGATATATTAAAGTGATAATAACTTTAGTCATTTTATATGATCAAGAACATAAAATATTAAAAATCACATTTTAGCAGTCCGATTATATTAGGAAATATATGTATTTCAAAAAATAATCTCAGCATTTTGGGAGTCGGAGGCAGAATGATTGCAAGTTTGAGCCCAGTCTGGGTAATTTAGCAATTTAATAAGATAGTGCCTCAAAAGATATGAAAGAAATAAAAGAAAAAATAAAAAGATATGGAGACATAGCTCAGTGCAAAGACCCTGAATTCAGTCTCTAATAGTGAAAAAAGAGGAAAAGAAAGAAAAAAGAAGAAATGAAGAGAAAGAAAAACACAGACACAAACAAATTGTGTGATTTCCCCCTTTGTAATGAAGACATATATATATGAGAAATGGCATGAGTTTTACCATTTCTTTTGAAACATTAGAGTGACTTATTCACAGTTCTTGACAGGTGCCCTTCGCCGTGCTCAGCTCCATGCACTGTTCTGAGCCTTTTAATTTCATCACATGGGTGTACGAATGGGGGACATTTTTCACAATTGTGGCCCTTCAGGAACATACTTACTGCCTTTTCTGATCGGAGAGAGCAATTAGGGTCAATAAATTCTAGCGCCTAATGATTGTTATGAGAAGGGCCCCTGAACTATAACCCGGTGGCTATGATGTACTTACAGATGTGCTTTCAGAATAAATATCTAAATAGCAAGCAGTTTCCTCATTTGCTCATATTCATCATTAAAAAGAGGTTTATAACAAAATAAAAAGAGGTCTATGAAACAGAGGCAGAATTTTTTTGAACATACAAATGCTTGTGTTCAAGTTTACTCCTGCAGTAGTTTATAAGATTGGTTCACGTTGCAGCACGCTTTAAGGCTATCTTGATAAACACGGTTAGTCGTGTGATGTCCCCCTTTGGAATGAAGACACCTTGCTATTTCCCCCATCTTCTCCACTTTCTTCATTTATATTATATTTCTATGGTTAAGAAATATTGTTTGGTCTATAATTTCTAATTATTTTGTGACCTTCAAGGGGCAAAAAGTATTCAGTGATACTAATATTCCTTCTGAAAGAATGAAATGCATCACTAACAGACATTATTCTCTTTTATATTTTACGGTCCTCTGCTTCAACCAGATACTATATCAGTTTCTAAAATGTTCTCAGTTTTCACAAGGGCTTTTGTTGCTTTGCTAGGTGCACATAATTAAGGTAATTATTTTAATCACTAGAATAAATTAATTTTGTCTTCAGATTTGATTTATGAAACACTTAATCAGATTGTTTTTGTGCTGGGACTTGAACTCAAGACCTTTGCACTGAGTTACATAATCAGGCCTTTTTTAAATTTTGAGACACAATTTCACTAAGTTGATAAATTGCCAGAGTTGGACTCTATTTTGTGATCCTCCTGCCTCAGCCTCCCAGAGTGCTGAATTTAACCACATTTTTAAGGAAAGAAAAGAAAAAAAAGAATAGGGGACAACTATCAGTGTTTTAATTTACTATTCCAAAGAATATGACTTGAGCCATTTTTCTGCTGCAGTTTATGATTCTTTTCTCTTCAAAGGGTACCTTGAAGATGTATATAATAACTTGTACGTTCTGGCCTGTTACTTCGATAATCCTGAAGATAAGTGGGTGAGGAACCACTTCTATGAACGATGTTTTGAGGTTGCTCATCTGATCAAATTTGATGGAGGGAAAAAAGAAGCAGAGGCGCAAGCACACTTGGGTCTTCTCTACGAGGAAGACGGTAGGTGGCCTTGGCCAGGCTACCGCGGGTGGGCTTTGCTGGACCTGAAACAGCACAACCAGAAAGCATTTGGGAGTGGAGAAAAGAACCAGTGAAGAGAATACAGATCCTGGAGGTCAAAAGGCAAAGCCTGGCCTTGTAGTCTCAGCCTCAGTGTTCGGTGCAGAATGGTCCTTGCAAGATTTCTCACAGGGCACCTGTCTGGACGCTCAGCCCAGAGGCCCCCAGCATGTGCAGGGAGAGGATGCAGCACCGTGCGCTCAGGCTGGCTGCAGGTGGCACCCATCCAAATGGTTTTCTTTTCCATCTACAAAAATGAGGGAAAGTGAAAGACATGCTGTGAGTTTCCTATGGCCCTGCTCCTGTATGTAAAGTCCCAAAACTCTCCATATAACTATAAAACTTATTGTACACTAATTTCTGAAGGAAATATACATTCACACTTAATAGTGTTTTCTTAAGAAAAGCCAAAGGCAAAATCTGAGCCAAAATGGGCAGGAATGGATTTTGTGAGGTGATCAAGGATTGCTAATAGGAATTTAAGAATTAAAATTATTTATGGGAGGGTGATATGTAGGTAATGTGCAAATAATATACATTCATTAGGAAGAGGTAAGTATTTTATTGTGAAGATGTTCTTTCATCTCTCAAACAACTATCTGGTTTTTCATAAAACTTAGCAAGGCAAATTTAAAATATTTATTATCTTGAGAATAAGACTACATTGCAATTTGAAGATCATTTAAGGTTTTGCAGTCCAGGGTGTTACATGTCATGAGAGTGTGATCCATAACTTGACCAACCCTAGACGGTGGTCTGAGGCCACCTCGTGTGACAGATACATGGAATACCAGAAAAATCCAGCATGGATAAAAGAGACCATGCAGTTTGGATTCAGGGAGGCAGGATGGGTGTGGAGCTCCTGGAGGAGCTTGGGAAGATGGATAACATTTAGACAGGTGAAGATGAGGGTGAGCTCTGCAAAATGAAACAACATCTACTGATGCGCAGTCAGAGAAAGCAAGAGGAGAAACACTCCCCTCCATGCGGGAAGTGTATTTCTGAGTACTGATGGGAAATCTCAGTGGAAAGCAGCCTAGCAACCTGCCAGCACTGAGTTTAAACTTTGCTTCTTCACAATATGAGTAAGAAAGTGGTGTGGGGTGATATGAAGTCTGTCTATAATGCAAACTGGGAAGAGGAAAAAGTGGACTAGGTGCTGTGGAAGGAGTTGCTCCACTAGGAAGAAACGATTGAAAAATATTTAAAAGAACAATGCATGCCTGTGACCTCAGCTATTCAGGAAGCTGAATCAGGAGGATTCAGAATTTGAGCAGAGACTGGGCAACTCTGAGATCTTGTCTCAAAATTTTAAAAAATAAAAATGACTGGCAATGTAGCTCAGGGTTCTTTAATTTCATGTCCAATGTCAGTTTTTGTTTAAATAAACTTCTACAAACTGAAATGTTTCACTTCAAAATAATTTATAATGCCTCAAGATAGGGGTAGTTAAATATATTAAACAATTCACATGTAGCAGATAAAACCATGAGGTTACAAAGTAGGGCAAAATTCACTCATTCAACAAATACTGATCGAGACCCTAATACCATGGGGACAAGCCAGTGAAGAAGACAACGCCTCGCTCTGGTGGAACTGAGCCATTTCTAAGTGCAGGTTGGTCATGTTATGCATATTCATCTTGTTGAACCATCAGTGAATAATCGATCTCCAAAACCTTTTCATCTGATAAAACTGAAAAACTGTACCCATTAAGCAACTCTCTGCCTTCCACTCCTGATTTTTTAAATCTCTGAGTGTCTTTCCTTTACAGGATTTATAAATTGCATGTTTAATTGATTTCTTCATCCATCCATTTTTTTTTTCAGAAAATATTGGCGGGTCCCCTGTTCCTTTATCAGTAGCCATGGCACAAAGGTTGCCCACGTCATCTTAGTGGGAGATTCAGCAGTTGAGGGCAAGGATGACTTTGGGAAGCATGGTCAGGGTGGGCTACTGTGAGCTAACACTTACAAGCTCTTTCACTTGCTTGCATTTAGATGCTCAACCTTCCAGCATGAGAAAGGGCAGTCTTATTATACAATAAATAGAATTTTTGGCTTTGAAATATTTTAAAGAAACCAGGCTTTAAAATGATCAGATGTGAATTTTTTAATGCCCTTATACAGTTAGCAGACCCTAGAACCATACTTTTATTGACTGTTACATAAACTAATGGAAGTCCGTGTTGATAAAATGGAAAAGTGTGCCTTGTAATGGTAAAAATTATCTGCAACCTTTGCAGTCTGGGGTAGAATTTCCTGAGAAGAGGAAACCAGAAGTGTCAAGACTCTATGACTAGGGTGGAGGGGAACTCACCTGCTGGAGAGGTCCTGCTGCGAAGATGGTGCTGTGGCTTCCGCCCATCTGATCTGATTGGTCCAGACAAGCGAATGGAGGCCCCACAACAACAGCTAGGCGGCAGCTGTGCACTGGGGCAGGTGGCAGCATCCTGATCCCACAGGGACCCCCATTTAGGTTAAAAGAGGACATTAGCTGGCAGATGGTAGTGGGCAGGTTGTCGGGGCCCCACCAAGCAGGCTGCAGTCCAGGGCAGGGCTCCAGCTCCCTCAGGGAACTGTAGAGCAAATGAGGAACATGAGCAGAAGCCATGGTCATAAAGACTGGGCACATGGTTGCAGTCAGGGGTAATGTTGAGCCCACTGGCGCAGATGTGACCAGGAGTCACCCAGAGCCCCCTGGCCAGAGTGGAGCACAGCAGACAGATCGAGCCCGTGCTGGTGCTAACAATGGGCTCTAGGGCTGGCAGTCTCTTCAGGTGAAACATCTTCCATCCTCTGCCAGGGAAAAGGACACAGTCATGGACTGAGCAACACTTACAGGGAATCACTGGCTTATCTTCTTTCAGAATTGTGACCTCATTAGTAAGGATCTTATCATGCAAACAGGACTGATAGATAAGCAGCATTCATGCCATGTATGGATCCCTGGAGCTCTGGAAAAAGCTCTCAGACACCAGACCAACAGAAGATGTGCTCATTCACTCATTCATTCATTCATTCATTCATTCATTCATTCATTCATTCCATGTCAGCACACAAAGGTCTAGCATGGCCTGACATCAGACTCTGGGAGAGAAAAAGCTAAGAGACATATCTAAGACAGCATGAGCCCCTCCTTTGATCTGAGCAGAAGCCAGGGCACAGCAGCCAGATGACATGGCAGAGCCCTAAGTATAGTTTTAGCCTGCCAGGTCACACAACCTTCTCCCCACAGTGGTAGAAGAAGTGGACCTGAGCCTCACCTTCTCCCTAATGGACTTAAGAGATTAGTTTGTTTCTTCCTAGCTTTGTAAGTAGGCAGTGTCTTTTCTTGGAGGTCGCTTTTAGATAAGTTAACCTTCAATCCACCTTTGAGAGCTCCCCTCCAATTCCAATGGTTAGGGTAGATTTTAAGTATCTTCACTGGGTCCATCAGAATACCAATCCATTTCACTCTTTGGCTTTAAGTATAGTGCCTGACTCTGGCCTTGGAGATGGTGTGGATGACTAGGAGTCCTCCCAGATGACAGGAGGATAGTGAGCATGCCTACAGAAGCCCAGCAAGGGAGACCTTGGCCATTGGAAGAAAAGCTTAGGAGGTTACAGATTTCCTTTCAGAAGACCCACATCTGTGACTCCAGCATACAGGCTGAGGAAAGGCTGACCAGGACATGGAGCATCAATGCCAAGTTCTTCCAATGACTGGGGAACTTCTGCAGACAGAAAGAGCCATCTGGATTGGTTTGCCAAGGTCAGAAACTACTGTTTTGGTTGACATCAGTTTCCTGGAAGGATCCTCACTAGTGGGCTCTGTGCATTGGCTGAGGCCAGGAGTGGCCAGGAACAGCAGCGTGTGGAATTGCATGACATGAGCACCAGCTCTCCTCCTGCACAGCAGGACAGAAAGCAGACCCAACAGAGGAGCTGCAGAGAGCATCACTCTGAGGCCTTTTCCCCTTTGCCACTCTGTTCTCACAGAGAGAGCTAGAGTGGGGGAACTCATGGATCCCTGTCATGCATGGCAGTTGACACTGTCCCCTCATATCACTTCCACCCATTCTTTAATGATCATGGAAAAAATATCCTCTACTATGAAAGGTTTTTTCTCATGAATTTTAACAAAGGCAATGGTTTGACTTTTCTCCCAGTAAGGTGCTCATCCTGTCCTAGGTAGTTCTCTTTAATAACACAAAACACAAAATGGTTTCACCAGGGGTCTCAGGCGCCAGGTCTCCCACTACTCAATATTTTCCAAAGCTGGATCTTTCTAACATCCACTAACTCTCAAAGCTGCTGACAACACTGTAAGTACACTCTCTGCACTCCTTTCCGAGTGAATTATTTCTCTCTAATCCTCTCTAACCTCAACCCAGTCCTTCTAAAGCAGTACCCCAACAGAGCTCATAATGATGGGTACAGGTTTTCCATAGTTTCGTGGGGTGCTCATGATTAGGAAAGTATAGCCCTATTATTACTAGTTTGATGAGGGCACAAAGACAATGGCAATATGACTTGGCAGAGTACTGATGCAAGTCCTGTTCTGCTGGCTCAGCCTTCATGAATCGATGCATATCCACCACCACCACCGCCTGCATGATCAGCCCTGGGACAGGGAGAAAGAGACAGGAACTGAGATATATGCCTTGTGGTTGCAGCCATAGGGCACAGCTACATAGCTCTTTCTAGTTTGACCAGCCTGGGTAACCTAGTGAGACCCTGTCCTCAAAATAAAATTAAGTTGTAACTCAGTAGGAGAGCACCCCAGGGCTTAATCCTCAAAATCACACACTCACACATACCAGAATTCTCATAATGGAAAATTTCATTCAGTAATGTTGAGAATGTTGAGGACATACTTGGATAATTTCCCTAAACTGCAAAGAAATGACTGAGAAATAAAAACAATGAAAGAAAACCATAAATATAGAAGTTCTTGAG